AGTCTGTGGAGCTGTTTGCTTTGTTCTGACTCCCTCTGACAAGCTGCAGTATGCCCAGCAACAGTACATGGTCTGCTGGGCAAGTGAGGTTGAAGGATGTGTGTGTGTGTGTGTGTGTGTGTGTGTGTGTGTGTGTGTGTGTGTGTGTGTGTGTGTGTGTGTGTGTGTGTGTGTGTGTGTGTGTGTGTGTGTGTGTGTTTGTGTGTGTCAGCAGCGGGGAGAGTCAGACAACACGCCGGTGGACACTTTTGACTCATGCTGGATGACCAAGAGGAGGAATGTACCATTATTAAAATATTCTCTATTTCGTGATGCAGAATCCAGTCTGTATGGAAGCCCATTTCCACCAATATGACGGGGGGAAGGATTTTGTAAATCATTATAATCAGAAACTTCCTCAATATATCGACTTAGCATCTCAAATCATCAAATCAAATGAAGTTTATTCATATAGCACATTTAAAACAACCAGATTTGACCTTTGAAGTGCTGAACAAATCAAAACACATCTGTAAAAAAGGCACATAACCATAACCACAATAAATCTATCAATAAAGCAAGGAATCTCCGTCTGTGTGTGTGTGTGTGTGTGTGTGTGTGTGTGGCTCAAATATCTCTGCAGATCAGGATCAGACTGACCTGAGAGTTTCAACATGGCTGCTGTGTGGTTTAGGGTGTCAACGCTTTTTACTATAAATGAAAAAAATTTCATCAATTATTTAGAATTCCGCTAGCATTACCATAGCCACCATAGCCACCATAGCCACATGTGCACCAGAGCCAATCACTGCAGAGCCCTAATGTGTAGTGATTGAGATCCTGACCCACCAAACATCCTGGAAAGTGACAAAGTTACGTTTTTCACTCTAAATGACATAATTATACATAATCACCAGCAGTAAACTGGACGCAGTCTGACTCCCTCACTCGCAAGACGGAGAATGCTTTCCAGTGGAAAGTAAACTGATGTCTCGGTCCGGAGGGCTGGCGGTCGCGGTGATTTTTGATCGCATACACTCCGTGAGTTTTTACGCTGGTGACAGACGCTGTTTTTCAGGCAGAAATGTGACGAAGAGTCAGTAGGACAGGTGGGAGGACAGACAGGAGGACAGATGCTTCTCCACGTACAGCTGTGGTATTTCTTTTCTATTCTCATGTAAGTTGCCAAAGATAGTTACAGTTACTACTTTACTGTTGTTTGGTCCTGTAACGTTGCTTTGTGGGACATTTCTCTTTATTAAGTTGAGTGAGAGACCTGTGCAGTTATCAGACTGTCTGACCGACACACCCTCGCTCCGCGCCGTCGGCTTATCCGTTCACATTATTTTGGTAGTTTCAAAACAATTTTTTGATGTGGAAACCCTTACTGCCATTGCTCTCTCTCTCTCTCTCTCTCTCTCTCTCTCTCTCTCTCTCTCTCTCTCTCTCTCTCTCTCCCCTCTCTCTCTTTCTCTCTCTGATGTATGTTAGCCTATATTACAGGGCTAAATAATATGTCCTGCCCAGTTCATTTACTAGGCTATGCTACAAGTTAGTCTGTTTATGCTGCCAGGTTTCATCCCATTTCAGATGTAGTTCACTTTCTTCTTTCAGAATTTTTATGCGCTGACCATGAGGTGTGGTACTTTCACATTAGTGGAATGGGGTTCAACTCCCTACAGTGTCCTTGCTAAAAGCCAAATTATATGAAAACACAATAGTTATCAATCTACACATTTCACAACAAACCTAAATGTCCCTGACGTCCCACCTTCAAACACAACCTCATTTGGCCATCCATGAAAAAGCTGCTGCACTGATATGAAAGCAGGACGGGTTTCCTGTTTAGGTCTCTCAGGGCCGTCAGATTACATTATTTTAATAGTTTTTAAGTTACGTACCACCTCAGAAGGGAAAATACTGTAAACACATTAAATGTCTTAACATCACTGAAACATATTCTTCCCTGTCAGAACCCTGCAGCCGCCCTCTGTTAATATGAGAGCTGCAGCACTGAGGGTTTTTGTTTTACTAATTACATAGAGAGGTAATGCTTGAATCCATTCCTTGTGTAAAAACTGACAAATGAAAATGACCATTCAGAGCAGTATTGTCTGAGCTCCCTCGGGTGTCCCGCCGCCATCCACAAATCAGCCAGTGGTCAAATTGTTGAGGCACAGCAGTGCTTTTACTGCTCTGCAGTAAAAATGAACCCAGGTCAGCACCGTCCCCGGCTTCATGCATATTTTTGCTTGTTTTGTTTCTTTCAACAGAACTATTGCATTTGAAAGACTAATGCTATTAGTAAAGAGTTTCAGAGTAAGTGTTTCCTCTGTAGGCGTAGCAGTCATATTTCCTCTGAGACAACTCTGATAGAAATCTGTGCACAACCAGCTCAAGGCTCTTCGGATAAAAGCACCCACCTAATGGCATGCATTAACCCCTGAATGTCGCTTCTGCATGTGCTGCTCTTTGCTTGCAAGCTCAAACTGTGAAACTAGCAAATGAGTATCTACACACTGACTATGACAGGTTATGAATAAGCTCCCTTCTGAAATATACTGAGTCTAGCAGCACAAAGCCACACCCTCATGCATAAATGTTGATGTTCACTGTCTGAGCGCAGTGAGACAATCTGCTGCGTAATGCTACAGCTTTTAGCACCTTGCATCATGACACTGCACTATTACCACAGATACAAAAAACTCAAATAAAAGATAGAAGCAGAGATAGATGGATAGACACATCAGACCATTTTAAGAATAGAATAATGCTCTTTAGAACATGGGTTCCCCACCTGGGGTCAGATAAATCTGAAGGGTCAACAAAATTCTATGATTTTTTTCTATCTTTGCTTTTTTTTTTACTTGCCAATTTTACTTCCTCGCACCTCAAATGTGCGTAGAAATGTGAGAATTTCCTCTGTGGTGGGCCTGTGTACAGCGCACCAAGAGGGGTCCCAAGAACCGCCGCTATGGGGCAGATGAAAAGATACCACTCTGGTGTCTGTATGGCGTGAAGCTACAGTCACAGCTCAAAGACTGGAAACAGAAGTGTCGACACACTTTGTCACTGCCTCGAAACAGTTGCCAGGCAACCAGCAGATAGTCTAGGAATACGTAGTCTGGTACGTAACCCCTCGTGAAAAATAGTTGTTTTGTTATACAGATTACACAAACATAACAACCTTCGGACAGAGCCAGGCTACTGTTTCCCCTTGTTTCCAGTCTTTATGCTAAACTAAGGTAAAAAAGCAGCTGGCATTAGCTTCAGAAATGAGAGTGGCGAGTTCCAGTGTGTAACATTTAGGAGGATCTATTGTCAGAAATGGAATATAATATTTATAGGTATGTTTTCATTAGTGTATAATCACCTGAATATAGAAACCATAGTGTTTTTGTTACCTTAGAATGAACTGTTTTTATCTCAGATGGCCTTCCATGGAGTCTGCTATGTTGGACTGCCATGTTTCTACAGTAGCCAGTCCCTAAAGGAAGTTGCAATGTTGTGATTGCAACAATTAATGCAAATTCAGCCAATCCCAGTTAATTCTGCGCAACCTTGCAATTTTGTCCAAACACTGCAACTTTTCCTCAAATTTGACGAATCATTGTAGTTTCCTGCACAAAACATTGAGTCATGGCACTCGCTCACATAGACAATGCAGACATCTTCGGCGTGAACGTTTCATGTTTACCCTCCATACAGTGCGATTTTCTTCTCACTGGAAGTTGCCTTGGATTTATAAAGAATTATACGGAAAAAAATACAAAAAATCTCAACTATTTTTGCAATTTTCACTTTCTCCCGCAAATAAATCGCAAAAAAACCAACAAACATCACAACATGCATCAAAAGATTTTAGAGAAGCTGTTGTGAAATCAACAATCCCCCCCCAAAAAAAAACATGAAAGAGTAGCCCGGGACGGACACCCCAAACACTGGCTCTCTTTTGTGAGTTTCAAGGCCACCGTAGTTTCTCCCACACACTTCAAAGCCCATTCTCATTCCCAGGTCGTCAAATACAGACGCGAGGGGTGTTCAGTTACAGTCACAGCCAGATGCCAGTAAATCCTACACACTGGTCCTTTAAATCAGGAAAGAATCACAATAATAATGTTTTAATGTTCCGATGCTTTTTGATATGCTGTACATGATGGAAAGATAGGGTCACTACTATGATAGAAGAGAAGCATCGCCATCTGTAAATGTGCATCCTGCAGAAAATGCAATTGTCAATAGAGCTTTTTCTGTACATTCACCCTACGTTTAAGATGCAGCAAATGTAAAGAGGCAATATGCGGGAAATGTTCAGCTTTGAAACATAACAGGGGGCCTTACTGTAGCTCTCCCCTGCCTGTTCAATGAAACCACATCTGCGTCTATCTACAGCAGAGCCTGTGACAGGGACAGCAGACAACAGGGCAGGTTGACACTGATTACCTGACATCATTCTCCCTGTACGTCGACAGGTTCTACACGACCACTGAGATAAAGATGCACACAATCCAGCAGCCAGCCATGCACCGCTCTGCTGCAAACAGCGCAAAGACTGCACACTGGAAGCTGTACTATTCACCAATATTACCAAACGCACGCTGACATGCTGCTTGTACACGATGTGCACTGTGTGCTTTCCGCAATAAACGTAGGTATTATTTCAGACGCACGGCTCAGGTACAGGCTGCTCAGTGGCCGCTTTTTACGCAGCCGTGTCGGCTCAAGGGCAAGCAGAGCCCCGGATTAAAGCAGAGATTGTCCCAGAGGAGGCAGGCAGGCTGAGGAGGGTCTGATGTTGGAGCAAATATGTAATGTTCAAAGCGGATATGACCCCCCCCCGGAGAAATAAACACCATATTCCGTTGTCGCCGTGACATTCAGGCGCAACCACGGCTGCTGACAATCTGAAGGGAGACAACGCTCATTGTGCGACATTTTACGCGCTGTGTGTGTTTTCTCTCACAGACAGAAACATGAGGATATTATAGATACATCTTTTAGAATCTAGATATATAGCTTACCCGGGCCGCCATCTTCACGGTTGCGGTAGATCAGGGATGCAGCTCGGGTCAGTGATTCATACAGCGGGGACAGAGAGTGGAAAGGCTCGGCAGCAGATGGGTTTATAAGCTGCGGCGCACCTCGCTCTGATTGGCTGAGCCAGGCGGAAGCGTGCCGATTAGCTCGCGTGCGGTTGAGGAGGATCGCTCCCCTTTTCTCACTGCCGTGTCAGGATGGCTCACGTGGCCAGATTGACAAAAGCGGGCAAATACACAGCGGACATGTGGCTCACCGTGGCTGTGCAGTGCCCGAGAGGGCCACGGTCAGTGATGCACAGAGGCAAAGCTGGTGCCTGTTACTGAGACTGTGAATGTGATCGGGTCAATACACAGACTTTCATTTCATAACTGACACCAAAATATTACACTTTAATGGTAAGATTTCCCCTACCATCTATCCATTTTCGTATTGACCTGTTATTTCCGTCATGATTTTTTATTTTATTTTGGTAAATATCCTGTTCGGCCTCTTCTTTATGCTTCAGCACCGCGGACAGCGCCCCTCTCTCCATCCAAGGAACCCTGTAGGCCAGTGGTTCCAACCCTTTTCCCTAAAGAGACCCTTTTTCTATCATTCAGTAAACTGACCACCCCTGATTAAATGACATTTTATGGATATTACATATTTTATTAAAAACGGTACAATGAACGCAAACAGTGAACTCAGTGACTGCAAGAAGTTTGTGTAAAACCAGTGATTTGGATGCATTTTGAGCAGATTATTACCTGTTTAGGGAACTTTTTATACAATCATCTGTCTGTATTATGTTTTTACTGTATGGTTTTGTACAACCATACAGACTTAATAGGCTCTTTTTTTGACTTGTCTTGTCTTTTTTTTCTTGTCCCCGGTGCTTGGCCATTGTTTACTGTAATGCAATAAGTTATTATTGTTTAACTGAAAAAGAAAAAAAACTGATTACATTGAAAATGTCAAGTAACACAAAGTTCAAAAATATTCTTGATAAGCAGCTTTTCCTAGCAATTTCAAGTGGTACTAACTTAGTTTTGTAAGTCACAGAAAAAATCCTTTTTACAAAATACTTTTTACAAGTACTTTTATAAGTAACAAATAAAAATTACAAATTTGGTTCGTTTTGCTTTACAGTTTCAGTGTAATCAACAACATTTTTTGAGTTAAATTTACTGATCTGGTTTTACAGTGTTCTATTAGACAACTCACATTTAGTTTTCTTCAGAGAAGTGAATCAAATGCAGGCCTACTGTGTATATTTTTTAAGTTTTCTTACACCCCTTAAAATCAAGAAGGCCTTGCGACCCCCTATGAAGCGGGAAGGAAGTTGGGAACCACTGCTGTAGCTGCCGTCTCCCTGCAGTGATTCCTGCTGAGTCAAGGAAAAACAGTATAAACACCCCAATGGAATATAAAGCAGCTAATGGAACAGTGACATCATGTCACCAATAGACAATAAGAGCAATGAAACTGCAGCGCTGCCCACCCAGGCTGACCTTGGCGTGAACTATGCGTGGATGAGGCACGTTTAGCATACTGTCACAGGCCATGTTCAGACTGCAGGCACAAGTGACCCTAATCTGATTCTTTTGCTCATTATGTGACTCAGATCTGATGTTTTCATGACAATGTGAACAGCATTGAATCTGATCTTTTCCATTCTGATTTGGGCCACTTTCATAAGTGTCATGCATGTCACTTCAGGCCTGTGATCTGTTCTCAGTGGAATCTGATTTGGGCCGCATTTAAAACAGCCAAACAGCAAAAATCTGATCTGAGTAATAAATCTGAATTTAGTGCTAAGGCTTGCGGAGTGAACATAGCCATAATGTATCACTGTAAATACAATTGTGCACTTGTAAGTAAGTAGAACTAAGTGTACTCAGTCTACTTACAGTTTTAAATTATGGGGTCCAAGCAGCCAAACTGTTGGAATATTCCATATTCCATTTCTGCCAATAGATTCTCCTAAGTGTCCTAAATGGCTGGGGTGGACTGAATGGGGCACACAGTATGCTGCCTACAAAACAGAGAAATGAAGAATGGTGATTCGCAGACTCACTGGGACTAGAACAGTTGACTTTATGGATATTTTAAGTTAATGATATTGTGCAGCCAGGCTTCAGTGGTGATGGCAAAAATGGCATTATCTTAAAGTGGCTTAACAATGAATTAATTCCTAGGTTTGCATATAATCCATGGTGGTGAAGATATAGAAAAATAGAAATGTATGGCAAAACAATTGCATACTGTTAATATTTTAGATGTTTCCAGGGGAGCTCATGTCTTATTAAGAGGAGCCCTACTCCCCCTGGCTCCTCTGTAGTTTGCACCCTGAATTTCAGTTGTGAAATCATACAGTTCACTTTTCACCCATGTGTGAGGAGTTGGAGTAAATATAGACAACCTTATTTTCTGTAAGTAAAAGAGTAAATAAGGTGACATACTTAAATATTTCTGTATAAAAAAACAGAGTAGCTGGTTCATTTTGATATGCGTTTAGCAGCTACATGTGATGGCACCGTAGACAAGCATTAGCCTGTGCTCCTTCAGCACCATGGAGAGCAGCACCCACAGTGACATCCCTGCTCTTTCAGCACTCTGGATGGCTACACAGTGACCAAACTAACATACAAACTGGTTTTTGCATCTACATTATTTTATTCTTATCAATTATTCCTACATGAATCACCTGCAGAAGGTTTACACAACCCACGCCAACTCTTTCTTTGTGACACATCACTGCACCTGTGAGTCACTGATCCATGATTAAAGCAAAAGCAAAGCTGTAGTGATTATCCTAAAACTTCTTTGCCAGTGCAACAGAAATACTAAATAATATTGACTGTGTCTACTTTCAACATTTCAAATCAGTTGAGCAAAAAAAGAGAAGAAATAATTAAAGGTTGATTAAACAAACAGTATATCTTCTTCAACTGTAGAGGTTTCAAATTACTTTGCTGATTCAAACTGAGTTCAGGTCAAGGATTCCCAGTCACTCACTTTGTATTTCATTCTAGAGGTGTAAATTATCACTTTGCTGATTGGAATAGTTTTGTTCACTTCACTTTAAGGTTCTAATCACTGACTATGCAGTTCATTCAAGCAAAGCAAACAATTCTCCATTCCAACCGATTGTACGAGTCACCCACTAAAGACAGTGGGGTTTGCAAGTCCCTCGGGTCACCAAGTCAGTTCCCTAAAGCTTCATGAATCTCCCACCGGCCTCAGCACCCATAGAGTATTTCCATGGAGACTTCCACTGGCTGAGCCGGCTAACTTCCGGTTTAGCCCTTCTCCACTAACTTGAAACGAATAAAATAATTTAATGGTGCAACTCGTCTAGATTTTACAAATATTATCGGGTCCTGTGTGTAGAATTGAGGATGATCTGTTGTCAGAAATGGAATACAATATTCATAGGTATGTTTTCATTAGTGTATAATTTGGAATCGTGTTGAGACCTTTTTATCTACAGACGCCATGAGTCGCCTTCCATTGAGTCCGCCATGAAATACCATGTTTCTACAGTAGCCTAGAATGGACAAACCAAACACATGCACAAGATAGGGCCTTTCACAGCCACCTTAGTTTCTCCTTCACACTTCACAGCCCGTTTTCATTCCCAGCCAGCGGTGTTCAGTTAGTTGCAATCTGCAACTTCATCACTAACGTTAGATGTCACTAAATCCTGCACACTGGTCTTTTAATAGTACCTACCCATTACTATGTTCAGTGAAGAGAGCTCAACTTCTAAAAGCTACTGATTCAGTCAGTGACAATGATGGTTCAGTATGTAAAGCCCTCTTCAGGTAAGGATTTAGGACACCACTGTTAATTGCAATACCTTGGTTCGAGTCCAGCTGGGGATTTTCGTTGCATATTTCCTGTCATCACTCTACTATCATTTTCTAATGTATACAATATATGAATCAGTATAGTCTATTCTGATTATAGATTTTCTGTTAAAGATTTCTTTGTACTTGAACTAAATTTTTTTCAGTTTTGTCAACTACCTATTTACATTATGTTAGGACTGTGTTAACGTAAACAAGCATGTATTTTGATCAAATCCTTTCAGAATATTGTACAGAGTTGTACTTTTCCTAAATCTCTCTGTATTAAAACTCCAGCTAGAATTATATCCATCTCTCGGTGCGCCAAAACAACATCTATCAACACTACACCCACTTAGCCACTACAGAGTCAGCCAGCAATAACTGCATTGCCTATTATGGGAACTCTCAAAACTCCCCAAATACCACTTCCACCCTTAAACAAAATGTACTCTTCAGCAGCCTCACCTGCAGCTGCTATAGATCACTTCAACAACTCAGCGCTGCCTTGTTGTGGTCACACTAAGAACTGTCTCTAAAGGGCCACAACATCTACCTATCCATAAAAACCCACAACCTGAAAATAAACAAAGAAGACCATGCTTGTAAAGGTTTTTATATAAAGTACCTGTAACAGTTGATCAAATTATTCATATTTCTCACATACATATTCATACATCCACATAGTAACAGACTGCAGCATCAGCACTCTAGTAACACTAGTAGCCTTGACTTTTGTTCAACAAAGATTGTTGTTTTCACAATATGATTCACAAATGAAAAGGAAGGAAAACCAATAATAACTTAATCATTATCATAAGCTTCATATGTTACACGATAGTTTTTTGTCTTGTACATGTTGCAAGGTAAAATATGGCACATAGTTATGAGTTGATCAATGATGAGAGTGTGTAAAGGAGGGGGTGTAGTCAACCCATACTTCTCTCTTTAATTCTAGAAAAAGGTTCCTGTCCTGGCTTCCTTGTCTTGTTTTTATTGTCCCTGTACAGCTAGATGGACCGGAGCAAGTGGAAGCAAAAATACTTTTGTTCCTCAGTTCTTTTGTTTCACAGGAAAATGCACCATCTCTCTACCTGGACTGTCAAAAGCTATCATCTGACATCCACATGGTATTGAATAATCCACTGTACTTAGGATCGGGTGTCAAATTGTAAGTTAGAATTGACCGTTTGCTAAATCCCTCCCTCAAACCATGTTTGTTTAAAGCTGCAGTAGATAGCTTTTATAAATATAACTTTTTGTCATTATTGCTGACACTTTCACTATATATGGAACATGAGACAGATAATCTGTGAAAAAATCAGGTTCCTCTGGATCGTCCTAGAGCTCCTAATGGTATTTACAGTAATTATCGGGTCTGAACAAAAACAAAGCAATCAGAACCAAGAAAGATGATTGTTGAGTCTGATTCCCAGGTCTTCAAATACAGATGCTGGGAATAAAACTCAATAATCAACTATCTTCAAGCCACCAACCCAAAGCTCCCTATCTTTCTTGGCTCTGATTGGTTGTTTTCGTTCGGGACCAGTGGATTCTTGCAAATACCATTAGGAGCACTAGGAGGAACCAGAGGAACCTGATTTTTTCACAGATTATCTGTCTCATGTTCTACTGTCAGGATATAGGGAAAGTTTCAGCAAACATGACGAAAAGTTATTTTTATAACAGTTAGCAGCTTTAATTATCTTAGGAACTGTAACCATAAACAGCAGGCCTGTCAAACTTTGAATTTCTCTACATGTACATAGTAATGTAGTAAGAGAGGTACTTATCAAGAGTTCAAAAGTGAAAGGAATGAAATGAACAGTGTGTGCAATCATTAGCAAGCCCAACTCACTAGCTTGCTAGCAACAGTAGTAACCCAGCTTTACTTCCAGGGCAAAGGAGCACATACAGTACATCAGTTTATAGGGCTACATGTTAAATACAAAAACATGTTCTTTAAATGCACATCTTGTGTGTAGTACTGAGAGGAAGCTGGTGCTGGACGTTAAGCCATACAATTAGCAGTGCTGTCCTCCTCTTTATTGGATCTGGGGCAGTTTAGACTCCAGCAACCACGGAGTGGTAGCCGATGTTACCCAGATAATGTTATGTTAGCCAAACACTTTACTCTTGTAACGTTAAAAAACGCAAACATTTTTACATTTACAATATTAGGACTAACTAGCTCTACACTGTTTCTTTATTTTCTATGTCTTCTACATGGAACATCGCTGGTGAGGATGCTAGGTTTTTGCCCAGGACCTGCTAGCTTTAGCAAAATATCACGTATGTAGCCAACAGGTGCATATTTAAGAGCCCTTTCACATCATTTTAAAATGACTCAGCTGGAAAAAAGAAAATGTCTGCAATATACTGAGCTAGCATTAGCTTAATTAGCTAGCCACAGTTGATAAAATCTGCCAGGCAAAACAAAACTGACTGTTTCCAGCTAGGAATGAGTGACTAACTTTAGTCTACCTCTATCTAAAATCCAGTAGCTATAGTTTCAGTCATCATAAATCTTCCGTTCAGTCGTTTAACTGTGTGTGTTGTGTGAGAACAGAAAGCCTGACAGGTGTAGCGACATAAAACAAAAGTTGGTGGGATTTAGCAAACAGTCAGTTAAACTTTCAGATTTACCACAGAGAATCCATATCAGGTAGCATCTCTTGATTGCAACATAAAAAATGATCATTCCTCTACTGAATCTGGGTGATGGTCCAATCATTGTATTGTACAAAAACCACAAATTTATGTTTATCACCATGACTTGACAGTTTGTCACTTGCCATGGAAAGGAGAACTTGTCACCTTTCTACATTTCTTTCGTCCATTAACCTGCTCTGATATAATTCCATACAAACCTACTACTTGCAGTTTGGGTCTTTAGGTAACAACAAATTAAGAAAAAAAAGATCATACAACAGTCGTCTTGGGAACGTCATTCAGAGAAATGCTACTTGTATACTGTTCAACCCATCAGAAACAGCTATCAGGAAAGACGTGTAAACAAGTTTCTTAGCCATGGATTCATTCTTCATGTGCATATTTGTCTCATGAGGTCTGACTCTGCATCAAGGCTACATTATTTTTACAGCATGGTACCTACTGCAGCCCGATCGGTTATCATCTGAACACAAAACACAACCAGAGTTAAAACACCACCTGCATCGTGGAGACACCCAGTCTGGAAACAGGCATAATATTCTGTTTTTAAAAGTTTTTAAAATCCCATTCCCCATGTCTTTTAAGTAAATAGGGGACTGTTTTTTCAGTTTTTTATCGTCTAAGAGAGCAGGCCAAATATAATTTTTCAAAAATTATAAATTCACCAACAGAATGCTGAATGCTCCAGCTCTGGATGACTCCAATTTTGGCTTACATTTTGCAAAGTGACACATAAAACTTCACTGTGTATTAAAATCACAAGCTTTCTATTTGGACTTCACATCCTTGCCACCTGAACAAAGTCTCTCTCTCATGGTCCACATCTCTAACACAGCAGAGCAACATCATGAAAAGCTTATCCAGGGTTCCTTTATAGTCTTTCTTGCTCAGCAGTCAGAGACTTTGAGTTGGCTCGTGTTTCTTTGTGTTTTATTTTTTTTTTGTATGAAATAAGGAGTCTTCATAACAATATGGCACAAGGTCTCTGCCCTGTTTGAAAAGGCAGAGCGTTTCTAAAACTGTAGACAATTTATCGGCTACCGTTAGACTTAGTGATGTGACATCATCAAGACAGGGAATCTCTTGAGGCACACCGTTGATTTTTTTACATGAAGTTCAGCTGGTCTTCGATGGCTCTGGAGGGAGCTTTCCAAAGTTTAAAAAAATAATCCTCATGATGTCTTCTCTGCTTGGGCTTGAGAGTATTGTTTGGAGGGGCTTTTTGTCTTTAATTGATAGGACAACGGAAGATTGACAGGAAAGGGGGAGAGAGAGGGGGTGACACGCAGTAAAGGGCCACACCCCGGCACATGGGGTGCCAGCTACACCAGGTGAGCCACCGTGGCACCCCAAGACTTACAACTTTTAAGATAAAGCTTGTGTTAGAAACTGGAGGAGTGGGGCATGTAGACGCTATCCACTTGTCCTATGGGAAATGTAGGATCTAGCATTTTTGGAGTTAGTTCCCATACTAGGAACTAAAAGTACTGATTTCTTGGCACCAGCTGCTTCAATTTCTTTATATCTTGTGAAGCCCCAAATTTATTCAATTGCAAAGCTGAATTGCCCTTAAATAGCCAAACAAAATGATCAAACTCTTGTGTGACTTTGGGTTTAGACCACCTAGGCTAAAACTGGTAGCAAGCATTAAGAATAACTACAGTATGTAGAAATAGCCAATCTTCTCAGTGATGGTCTTGTTAGTTTATTTAGGTCCGACAGAGGCAACAGAATGAAATTCATAACCAGTTAAAAACTCCTTGTTTAATATTGGAGGGGTCTTTCAGGCCCCTAAGCACCATGGAACCAAGAACAGCGGACTTCCCGATGAGGGTCTGATGCTTGGACTCGCCTTTATCGATGTATGTGCAGCATAGGCAGGGATACAACTAGCCTTTCACGCATTTCCTTCATTAGAGAGTCCTTGTGCCGAGTCGCCTGGATGTCACATCACTGAGCCTAGCTTTCAGCAGTTCAGTGTGGCGACAGCTCAGTCTCTTCTGTAACATGTGGTGCGGTGTGTCCAACACAAAGCAGCATGCTAGGAAACCTATAGAAGCACACATGCATGTCAAACAACTCGGTGAATAAGTAAGCCATCGGGTCAACAGACCAGAGAGTCTGTAAATATGGGACAACTGGATTGGACTGGACCGCACCAGACATGACAGGACCGGTTGAGACCAGACTGGAGCAGATGGACAGACAGAATCTGTGTCGTTTTAGTTTGTTGCTGTGGAGAGTAATGAGCAGAGGGGAGAGGGGAGAGGAGGGGGCGACACTTCAAACAGCGGAGGTGGTCCCTCCAGCCAGGAGGCGACAGCAACATCAAGGCGTCGTTTTGGAAGAAAAGTCACATCTACACTTGTAGCGTCTACCCCCGCCCACACAAACCGGATATATGTAATATATATATCCGGTTTTATAATCACATTTTCTCTTATTTTGACGTTTGTGGCCATTATTTGAGATCTCCTCTACGACCCAGAACTCGTCCTCCACAACCCAGCTCCACCAATCAATCATACAGTATGAAGCACACAACATGAGTGCAGTGTTTTAAAACAGAAATCTTTCTTTCTTTCTTTCTTTCTTTCTTTCTTTCTTTCTTTCTTTCTTTCTTTCTTTCAGTAAAACATTTTCATTTTCATGTGGTCATTCAGGACAGCACCAATATGGACTGCAGGAGAAAGTGCAGGGGAACAGGAAGGAACGAAATAATTCCCAGTGTAAAATATGCCCTGGAGGGGTCAGTATTGCATTTCCCCATGTTTTTGTAAATGTAAACAGCTTACAGGAGGGCTTGTTTGACAACTATTAATCTGTGCCCAAGGGATTAGCATTTCATACTCTTAAAAATAAATAACTGATCTCCCAATTCATAGCAGATTTGACTGGATAAACCCTAATCTTCTCTTAAAAGTACAGAACTTTATGTAAGATGCGAATGGATTAACCCACTACAGTACAATTACGCCGAATAGCGACTTTAATTTCACAGTCCGATAAGTTTGCAGACCAGTTGTGGTTGATTCTAGCTCATCATTTATATGGTTTTATTTAATGCGCATAAAGTTTCAACAGTGGACCTCACAGCCAGTGTTGGTGAGTGCAATAAGCGTGGGCAGGACAATAGGAATAAGGTAAAGTGGAGTTGGCAATAAGCAGGTGGACATGTGCAAGGAGATATGAAGTGACCTCATGCAAGATGGTTTTTCCATTACCCTGACATTTCTCTATAGCGAAGATGCCTGGATGCTATCACACAATATAATCGTATCAATGTCCTGTGTCTTTATATTTATAATATCTAGCCTAAATGAGTGAATCTATGTTGTCTGGCGTTTCTAAACCCATTCATTTCTGTGAAAAGACAGAAAATGACTTCAGATCAATCAGATATAATTTCGTATCTCACTGAAACAAGGTACAGGTCAGACGGATGCATGTCTCTGGGCCTGAGGCAACAGATACAAATGATGGCTATCTTTCTCACAGCCTGTTAATGTCACATCACCGACCCTGCTAGCCAGGCATTTGATAAAAACATAGCCTCCATCTGTTTTGTCAGCTACATTGTTCTTGAACGACTCATATCTCTTTATTGCCTTTTTATTGTTGCATCCTGAGCCGACTGACCCAGGCAACAAGTAGCCTGTCAGTTTTGTGAATTTAATCAGATCCAATCAAATCAAATAATGAGCCTTATGTTGTGGCCAGCACCACAGTAACCCTGATTTTATCTGCTTTGTTGTCATAAAGGTGATCTGTAGGCCAGTTACTGCCTTCAGGTGAGACACTGCAGTTCAGTATCTGCCTCTGGTGTAAGCCAGTTAGTGTTTAGGTGGCTCATTACCCTACTCAAAGGATTTAAATGCTATGTTTAATGCCAGAAGCTCTTTGTTCAAACAGGTTAATGATTTGATTAATGATAAACCTGTAGAGACGCCAGACAACAGTACAGCTCCAAGGTATCGCTACACTGCATTACATTAGTCCACCTGTCCTCAACCTCCTAACTCCATCAATCTTTCTATCCATCCTTCCCTCCTTCCCCCCTCCCAGCCCCTTCTTATCGGTCAAGGCCTATGAGAAGTTTGGTCTTCTCCTCCTCTTTCTTGCTCTCGTTCTTCAGGTCAGCAAACACCTGGGTGAAGAAGTGCGGGTCGGTGTTAATCTGGAGCATCTTGCCGCTCATGCGGTTGATGATCTCCAGGCAGCGGTCCCAGAAGGCTTCCTTCTCTGCCTCGACCAGGAAGGGCTTCAGTGGGTAGGAGATCTCGTTGCCCATGTAGGAGTAGGACAGGTAGAGGCAGGTGAGCAGTGAGGCCTGCAGCTCGCGCTCTGAGGCCACCTCAGACGAGACCACGTCGCGGCACAGCATGTAGAGGAAGACCACGTTGGCCGGTGTGATGAAGCCCTGATCCTGCCAGCCCTGTAGGAGGAGGGAGCGGTCCACGCTGCGCAGCCACAGCACAGGATCTGTCGGGGATAGACGCTTCAGTCGGTAACACCGACGGCACAGGAACTCGCCCAGGCTACGCATCAGTTCACTGGTGGATGCCTGGGTCAGAGAACGAAATAGAAAAGAGAAAAAAATGAGAAAGAGGATTGGTAAAATAAATCGATGAGTTTAAAAATAAGAAACAGTTTGGATTAGGGTTACCTGGACGATGACACGTTTTGGCGTGCCGGCTGCAGTAGACGGCTGGATCCCGGAGCCTGTCAGGGAATTCTTTTTGGCAGCAACAGTAACTACGTTGGCCAGGGTCTTGGAAGTGGGCAGCTGGGAGGAGGTAGTGGTGGTAGTGGCCGAGGGGTCTTGGCTGGATGTGTAAGATGAAAGGTTAGCACAGGACTGAGACTTCTTCAGCTTCAGGCTATTGGAGGCTGAGTTGGCCATGGCAGTGCCATGGCCATCCGGTGAGTTCCCTTTCCCACCGTCCCCGATGTCTGACTGCAGCTTCTTGGAGCCCTTCCTCTTCGCAGATACGGCCACGATGCGTTTCCATGGCAACACATTGATGATAGAGGGCCGTTTGAGGGACTTTGCGGCTGCTGCTGCGGCATCCTTGGCGTTCTTGCTGTTCTGGACCGCTGTGTAGTGGCCTACAGTGGCAGGGCCATCCTCGAACAGCACCGCCTTGCGGTAGCTGGGAGACAGCGACAGCACCGTACCCATGATGCCTGTGTGAGAGTTAGCAGTGGGACGGAGGAAGGGCGGAGTGAGGAGCAGTAGGGGAAAAGCTCTTTGATTGGTCTAGACAAAGAGCTTTGAGGGGACCAAAGTGTCTCTGGAGGAAGTCGAACCTGTGAGCAAAGAACAGGAAGGAGTGACAATGATCTCCATTAGTTACATAACGTGTCGTAAATAATGCACAATTAAGCCATCAGCAACAAAAAAATTACTTTTTAATTTGACATTTAATTCAAGGTCTATTTACTTGGCTTTTCTGTGCTTTAAGTGCATCTCATGGTCTGCCTGGATAGCAACTTCCATATTGTGGTCGCTGTGCCCTAACTGAGCAAATTCCATCCGCTAAGGAAGATGGTGGGATGACTTTAAGTTACGTTTGAGCCTTCACACAGGAGTCTCTTGGAGTGAGTGAAGAGGAAAGTAATAAAGGTCCACTATCTGTTTCTCCACATGCATTTTTACTCCTTTTTTTGACGAGCAAGTCGGAATAAAAGCTGTCTGCTTGGGCTATTTCTGAAGCTTTAAGCCGCATCTCACAGTCTTCCTCGGCTAAAGCAGTTTGCTCAGTATGGATCGAACTTCCCACATAGATTTGTCCATGGTGATGTTGCTGTATCCTAGCAACCATGTTAGCTGAGCAAACCCCATACCCCAAAGAAGACTGTGAAATGTGGTTGAAAGCAACACAAGCAACTAGTAAGTGGACCTTAAATTAAGTGGGGGTTGTTTTCTTTAGTCAAACCAATGTTTTTACTTGATGTTTTGGGGGAGTGAGTGAGAAGGAAACCGTCTAAACTTTAAAGGTAATTAAAAATGAACTAATAGTTAATGGTTTTATAATGTTTTCTGTTTGAGCAATGTGACAGAAAACCTTATTTTACATTGTGTAGCTACATAATTTGATGGCATTCCTTCACAGTAAGACCATAAATGCTGTGGTCACGTAAAGCAGTCTGCTGTTTATTTTCAAATAAAATGAGCATGCCTCTGTACTCTACTAGAAGGGACCTCAGCAACCATGAATTTAATTTCATTGCGATTTAACATTGTTGCTGATTCCTCTCTACATATAGCATATGCGTCGTCTCTCACGCCAGCTCAACACGGGCCGCCGCCGCTCCAGTGTTCATCAGTATTATATAAGAGCCAAGATAAGGCCACAGAGCCATGAGAAAGAAATGTGCGCAAGCATCCATCTTAGCTTCAAAATGGAAGCCTTGAAAACAGCCCCTCCAACACAAGGCAGCCCCAGAAACAGCTGATAGGCCTGTGCTCTCACATCCTCAGCCTCAACATGAGAAATATGTTGCTGCTGATTAATGTGTGTATGATTCTTTTTATTTATTTTTTTGCAACATAAGTCATCTAAATCTGCACAACAGAGTGCTCACACACCTGTGCGTTAATGTCTAAATTGATGGATTTTAATTACTTGGGCCTCCTCATTAGTTTTTGTTTTATTATATGCAGAGATGAAAAAAATGTGTGTTGCCACCTGCAGCAAAGCAATCCTGTGTGTTTTCCTACCTTCTAATTAATCGACTCTTCTTGTGGAATCCATATATCACACCTTGATCCCCTTGCTGCTGTGCAAATGCGGTCAAAATGTGAGAGCGCTTCCCACCCGTTCTGCTCGGTTTCCACACCGAGCTGTCCAGGGGTCCGGGGGCGTTAAAACGGTCGGTCCCCGGTGATGTACCAGCGTTACAGGCCGTCTCCCGGTTTTCAAGCCTTCATTTATAGAAAGTCCCTCGCTCGTCGACGGGAATACAGATGCGAAGCAGATGCGAAATGTGCTTCACTCCCTCGCTCGCAGCGAGTAGGAAGATGTCTTCCATTGAGAGCCGAAAATCTACCCGGCCGCGGCTATTAACGTCCCGCTACGATGCTCACGACCCTCGCTCAGACAAACATCGAGCGGCGCATATCGCTCCGAAAACATAAACCAAAACAAAGGCGGAGAATACCGAGAGAGAGGGAGAGAAAAGATGGCCACTACGAATTCCAAAAATAGACAGCGGCTTAAGCGATGTAAAGAGAGAGAGGAGAGAGAGAGACCCGTCGCTTTAGTGCGGGCATCTGCAGTTATTCGGGTTGGATGTGGGAGAGAAATGACGCCTTCTGATTGGCTGCGGCCGGCCGGGATGCTGCCGCTGCTGCAGTCGCTGTCTCGGATCCAGCCTATCGGAGAGGTCGCTGTCCGAGGTGCTGAAACCAGCCGACCAGATGTGTGAAAGCTGCTGCTGCTGAGGAGGAGGAGGAGGAGGAGGAGGAGGAAGAGGCGAACACGGAGGATTTTGTGAATCACTTCGAGTAGGCCGAGCCCCACTAACACCGTTATATGAACTCATATGCTTTATGGGGGAATGCTCCTCGCATTATTATTGGGAAGGGGGTTTATTGGTAGAAATTGCAGTTTCGAGGTACTTGTACTTTATCTTTCTCCATGCATCTCAGAGGGAATTATTTACTTTTTACTCCTCTACATTTACCTATATGACAGCTACTTTTCAGATTAAAACTGCAGTAGGTAACTTTTACAAAATAACTTTTTGTCACATTCACTGAAACTTTCACTATATCCTGACAGTAGTACATGAGACAGATAATCTGTGGAAAAAATCAGGTTCCGAATCCTTTCCATCTTTCTTGGCTCTGATTGGTTGTTTTCATTCAGGCCCGGTGGATTCTTGCAAATACCATTAGGAGCACTAGGAGGAACCAGAGGAACCAGATTTCTCTCATGTAGGAAATCATTAAACAATTACAGATGTGTTTCTTTTTTTTAACTTGCTTTGCAAATGTTTTCCAAAGTACAGCTATTTTTCTTTGGAACATTTTGTCTTTGAAATTTGAGCCTGTAGCTGAGCTGTTTTTGAAAGTTCCTTACACTTAGCATTGTTTTTCATACTGCCATAATGCTTCACTCTTTGCGCTATTGGCTGATACGTGATACCCCAACACCCAAACCTGGTGTACAACATCAGCTAGTGTCATTTTTTGTATTCTCTCTCCAGATTAACAACTCGTGCTTTTTCAGCGACATAAAGCAGGTATGTAGGCTGTAAGCTAGAAAGTGGATTTATCTTCCTCCCAAATGCAGCTCTACTCACAGGCAAAGGAGGCCACTGAGTTAGAAGAGAAGAGGTGATTTGTAAAGCCTCTTAAAGAGAGAATAAAAGCAGCTGACCTCTGGACTATAATATATACTTAGTGAGTCACCTGGCTGCATGCTGACTGTGTAAAAACCTAAATAAATGTATAATATAGAATGTATAGAAATATAAACTGACAAAATAATAAACAAATGTTCAATGCAATGATTAACTGAAAATATTTATTGATTTTCAATTTTCCCAGAGATGCAGCCGACAAGACAGCACAGCAAAGAAAGGTGAAACAAAGTGAATAATCACCTGAATATAGGAATGATTGTGTTCTTGATGAACACATACCATGAATACAATAAGGGTACATACATACTTATAACAAACTTAATTCATGTTTAACTAATGATGATTGATGGTGATTTAATGAATGGACTAATGCAGGATGTATCATGAATCCCTGTTGCTCACTATTAACAAATGATTGACACTGAATAGCTCATCAGTTAAGGAATGTGAATTAACAGTTACTACATTAATTGATATGTGGCCAGATAAGATGGTCTTCTCTTACACAATAAGTGTATTTCTGACCATGCATTTGCTCAGCCCCTCTGATAGCTATATGTGTCTGAGAACAGTCCCAACAGTATTTTTGAGACATTGAATGATGACATGAAAATTCTGCTACATTTACATTGAAGTGTTAACTTAAACAATATTGATTAATGTGCATTGTCCCTGGTAAATAATAAAATAAATAAAATAAAACTAATTTGTGTCTCCTTGAAAACATGAATATTCAACAAAAGCAGTCAAATGTCAACCAAAAAACATACAACTTTGCAATTTTTATTACTAACAAATAGCAAACGGCCAGTTCCACTTAACAACACAATTATGTGTGTTCATCAGCACTGAACTACATAACCCATGATGCAACCCAACACATGGCCGGTCAGGTGACATTTCTGTGTGTTCCAGCCTATGTAGGGGTGATGGGAAGATGAGAGATTGGGTGCATTGGCAAAGAGCGCATTAAAGAGAGAGAGAAAAGAAATGCAAATTATTATTAGCAAAGCAGAAGTTAAACAACAAAGCAAAAGAAAGATGGGACAGAGAGGGGAAAGGAGGTGTCTTAATAAAACTCAAAAGAGTGTGGAAGAAACTGGGGTAGTCAGTGGGCACAGGAGAGTGGGGACAGTAATGTGAGGGTTAAGATAGGGACACTGTGGACTATATAAAACACAGAACATAGTAGGGAAACATCAGACAGGGTTGTGTGGTTGTGTGTCAGGAAGAGGAGTCGGTGGAATATGTAGTTCTGAGTTGTAGGAGGTACGGGACAGAGAGAGGTGATGAGGGGGAACTTAAGGGAATTAGGGGGGCAGGAAGTCTCATCATGTTGTCTTTTGAAGGAATATTCATAGAAACAGACCCACATCTATAATAGTCTCATTTTATACATGATCCATGATGATAAAGATACAAGAAAACTAGAAATACTGTACATGGCAAAAATAGCATATTTTCAATATTTTAGACCCCCCCCCGAAATTTCCCACACCATGTTTCGAGGGGAGCTCATGTTTTTTTAGTAGTAGTATCTGTATCTGTTAGAAGGATTTGGATGGTCAGTGTATTTTCTGATTCGCACTCCGGAGCAGAAGGTGGCGGTAATGAGCTGGATGCCGTAAAACAAGAAGAAGAAGAAGAAGAAGAAGAAGAAGAAGAAGAAGAAGAAAAAGAAGAAATAACCACGGCGCGCAACAACTTCCGGGTCACGTGGTTAAAAGCTGAACTGTTTTGCTCTTGGAGTCTTCCTCAGTCTTCCTCGCTCATCTTCAGTGAGTTTGAACAAGTCTCTGGATGTGTGACACTGTACGCTCGCTGGCAGCACTCAACATGGACGCTCTGCACAGACACCGCTCACTGTACAAAGGAACGACTCCGCCGTGGAAGGAGACCTACCGCAAGGTGAGCAAGGTGCCGTGAACTCCTCGGTGAGCTAGCTGGAGCTAGCACGTCGGCGCTGCGCCGGTTCCTGTGGGTTTGACATTTTGCTGTTCGCTGTCTCTCAATGTCTCGTGTAGCGCTGTGTGGACAGGCTGAAGAACAGCCGGTCGAGGCTGTTGGACAGGTACCGACAGATGGGAGAGGGCCCGCAGCGCAGCGGCTCCGGGGCCTCCATCATCGTCCAGGAGGTGATGGAGGAGGAGTGGACCGCCCTGCAGTCAGAGGACCGCAGGCTGCCCTCACTGTGGGGGCCGGAGGGGGTGGCAGAGGTCGGTGTCTCTCTCTTTGGCTGCCCCACTTTGTCTTTCTTCTCCAATCACAAAGTCCGACAGGATTCCAGATCTCCAGGAATTTCTATTTAGAAATTCTTCTTTTGTTTTTGGAACCTATCCTATAGAATAGGAGTGATGAATTATATAGTTGTCCTATTGGGTCCAGTCTTATAGAAGTCCAAAAGGACCTATAGTTCCAAAATCCTTCCACTCTAATAGGAAATTACGAAAACAACCAATCAGAGCCGAGAGAGATGGAAAGCTTTGGGTTGGTGGTTTGAAGAAAGCTGATTGTTGAGTGAGACTCAGCTATCTTTCTCAGCTCTGATTGGTTGTTTTTTGTTCAGGCCCGGTGGATTCTTGTAAATCCCATTAGGAGCTCTAGGAGGAACCAGAGGAACTGATTGTTTCACAGATTATCTGTCTCATGTGTTACTGTCAGGATGTAGTGAAAGTTTCAGCACATATGACAGTTATTTTTATTACCTACTGCAGCTTTAAAGATGGAGCAAGCACTTGAGGTGTCATCATCTGGAGCATAGAGCTGAATCAACTATCTGTTTGAGCTCTGTAAACAAGTGCAGTCAGCTTTCTTTTCTGCTAAACAGATGTTTAGTGTCATGAAGGAGTACGATGAACTGGCAGTACTAGAGGAAATCCAGCAGGAGCTCATGTCTCACGGTAATGCATTTCTGTTTTCTTTTGCTATCCAAGCTCCTGACTGTAGATATTAAAACAAATCTTGTAAAATAAATGTGTCTGTAATGCCACATACCTAAAAATGATTATATACAGTGGTAAAACCACAAGGGTTGAGATATTTCTCACGGATGATGTTGATTTTAAATTGGGCGTTCTTTTCTTTGTGCCACAGAAATGTCTATTATTGAAGAGTACGAGAGGAACCAGCAGTTCGAGCAGCAGTACATATCATCTGTTGTGGAAGGGATGGAAGAGATGCATATTATTTGCCCCATATGTCACACGTGAGTCCAAGAAATGACTGCTGTAACGTTGAATGTTCAGTCAATCAGAAAATGAAAAAGATATCATTTGTAGAGGCAAAAATAGCTGGAGCTGTGTTGATAACGACACATTTTCAGGGTTCCCACACATTCAAACATGGAAATCTAGAGACTATCTAACGTGGAGCGTCCAATAAACGATGACCTCCTACGAGGGCTACCCGTATATTGTATGACTGTTTGCGCTGTACTGTGCTGTCGAGAGAACTCCTTGGAAAGGTCCTAGAAAATATGCTCTTGAAAAGAGCGGTAACCTTGATTTTTATCATTGTTCAACATGCTTCTTGTGTCTCGCAGGAACAACTTGACCATCAACAGTCATTTCATCTCGTGCCCCTGTGGACTGTACATTAACACTAAGGTTGGTTTGTTAAGCTCATCTTTTTCAAATGAGGGCACTGGGTTTTATATTACAGGATACTTTTAAGAAAATCCCAAACTCAGGTAAAGCTGTGAGAAGGTGGTATGTAAAGTATGTTAGAACCCGATTACTGCAAAAAAATCACACTTCTATTTGGAGTCTTAACTTGGGAAATCTAAACACAGTGACGTGATTGACATATTTTTAGATTCAGTATGACTTACACCACTGGTTCCCAACCTTTCCCTTAAGGAACCACTTTTCTATCATTGTATAAACCAAATACCCAACAGTACACAAAGAACTGAAACTGTACAGTGAACACAATAACTGCAGGAAGTTTGTGTAAAACCAGATGAATTTTGAGCAGATTATTTCCTGTGAATATTGAATATTGATTGAGATTAGTTCTGCTGGTATTTTTGGAACTGTTTAATACAATTCTGTCTTATGTATTTTCCTCATTTTTAATCATATAGACTTAATGGGCCTCTTTTTTTTTTGACAAATTCATGTTTTTCTTTCCCCTAATGCCATTGTTCTATTAGCTCTCTGGTTGTTTTAACTGCATACTTTTTCACAACCGTGAAGGCTCTGAATATAGCTTGTGTTCAGGTCTTTAAAGTTTAGAACTTAAAAAATAATCTAAACTACAAAAAACTATTTCATTTAGGTTTTTTTCCCACAGAAATGAACAAAATGCTGAGGTGATTGTACATAGTTTTGTTATGCCTCTTAATATCAAGGCCTTGTGACCCCCCCCCCCAGTTGGGAACCACCCACTTACATTTGCTGGGGATATCATTATATGCCATGTCGACCGTGGATAAACAATTATAAATCAGCACAATGGCTCTTCTAACTCCAGACACCTTGTGTCCAGAAACAGAATGTCACCCCCAATGTCCTGCGGCATCTTCTGGAGTCCAGGGTGTCGGAGCATATGGAGGACTGTCTCCACAACCCTGTTTTCTCCGTAGCTCCCAACATGGACAGCTCTGCCACCCTGATGATAAGCTGCAAGGTACGGCACGGTCACTGCCAAGGCTTCTTAGGAAATTGATACTAAAACAAATCTGTCACTGCTGCTGGGAACTTCTAATGCATAAGTCGCTGCCGCAGAAGGTTTCTTTCCAGAGGTCTTAGGGTCCTTCTGTTGTGATGAAGTGCTGGATTTGTCCTTATTATGGTTTGTGTGTACTGACCTGTTGCCCACATATGTTCTCTGCTGCTTGACCACACAGTCATTGGTTGTGCTGTATTACCAGTTAAGTTTTCTTCTCTCTGCTTTCAGGTGTGCGACTACCTGTCCGTTGTGCTGTGAAAGCACGCGCCACTGTCATGAGTGACATAACTCATGAGATTTTAAGTTTTTTGTGCTCTGTATGTTTTGTGAAATAAAGGCTATTATTTATATTAAATGTGTAGATGTTGTTCATTGTACCGTGTGCTACCATGGCACACATGGAATCTAGAGTACATTTGTTTTGTGTTCATTAAAACCAGTGCCTGAAACGGGTCGCTACTCACTGCTGATTTTTGTACTACATACTCAGTATTTTTTCGAAGGGGTTAACAATAAAGGTTATGAAATAATTGACTGAAAACAACTCCTTTGATGCCCCAAAACCCCCAGCAAGTTCAGTTTTTAGACCTGTTTTTCTAAAATCCTGCAAACAGCCATGTAGGTGTACAACTGCATACCTGTGTCTCTGTGTAAACACTAAGAAAACAGCACTGAAAATGTCCTTTTTAAAAGGATAAATGTCAAAAGAGTTAGGGTTATGTTGTGGTGAGGGTTGTGCTGAATTAGGGTACTTGGCAAGTTATTTATTTCAAACGTGACTAATACTTCTGAAACTTCCCTTTTATTTTATGCGTGTCGTCACAGTAATCCCCTAGATGTAGTGCAACCTCCCACCACCAAAACACAAAGCTGCTGTTGCAGTGCAAAATATATTTATTGATATTCTTAGATTTAATATTTTGTTGCAGCATTTATGTATTTTACAATTTGTGAAGTGTGGTATAAATGATCGCTTTACACAAATAGGATGCATTTTTCTGCAGCTAAAAAACACAGCCACACTTGACAGTGTTTCTGGCCAATAACATGGACTTACCAGCACATTTATGGCTACTTTGGCTTAATTTCTCGGCATGTAAAAACCTAAATTCAAATGTAAGGACAAGGCACATGTGGAAATACTTCAGGTTTAATCAGGTTTAGAAGAAACACCTGCCCATTTCAGAGCAATCATCCCAATGAAACGTTCTTCCCAGCGTCCAATTAAACACTGGTCAGTCTAAATGTCATCAGCACTGAGACAGTGCAGCATGGACAGTATTATGTCGTTGTTAAACTTAACAACATTTAGCTTTAGTATATATTCTGATCTGTTTGGAAGTGGCTGCACTTCGAGGGCAGAGCTCGCCATCGCCGGTAGGGGGCAGCATTGTTCCGAGTCTGTGAACGACCTGACCGGAAAACAAGCAGGCAGAGCGGAGCGGAGGCAGGCAGAGGAAAGATGGCAGCCGCGGCAGTGGCTGAGTTTCAGAGAGCACAGTCTCTTCTTGGAACAGACCGGAATGCCTCTATCGATATCTTACACTCAATAGGTAAATATAACCCACACAGTACGGCACTGGAGAGAAAAACATTTTACGCTCACACACTGAAGCTACACTCCCCTCTGTCAAACGTGGAGCAGTTGTGTTAGTCTGTTAGCAGCTAAGCTAAGTTAGCTAGCCCAGTGCTGGCCGTCTCTTCTTTCTCCTAGCTTGCACAGTGAGTCAGCAGCAGCGGGCTAGCCGGCTAGCAGCATACCGGCTAGCTCATGAGACAAGCTAACGTTAGCTTTCCCCGGCTCATTCATTTGACAGGAACTGGGGTGACAGCTGGCTAGTTAACGTTAGCATGCAGCCAGCGTTGTTAGCAGCTATGCCTCGTCTTGTCAGATGTCAGGCCGACAAGGAAATGAATGTGAAACTGAGTAACTCTCTCAACATCACCTACTTTGTCCCAGCGCTTACTTTATCCTCATGTACCACATGCTGCTCTGTAATGAGTATTAAAGCGTAGCTGTCATTATTGCTTATTGTTTAATTTGACAGGTCCGATATGTCGTTAGCCGCTTGGCTGCTCGCCATCCAACCCAACCTGTCCATAATAGAACTTAATGCTAGCCTCTAGAGACAGAAGTAAAGAGTGTAACATAAGCATTTTATTGTTTGCACATTGCGGTGATTCATGTCAATACGGATCAGTATACATCGTTATATATATAGATATATGTATGTGTGTGTGTGTGTGTGTGTGTGTGTGTGTGTTGTAGTGAAGCGGGACATCCAGGAGAGTGATGAAGAGGCGGTGCGTGTTAAAGAGCAGAGCATCCTGGAGCTGGGTGGGCTGCTGGCCAAGACCGGACAGGCTGCAGGTAATAGAACATGGTGTTCATATTAGTGTCTACAGTTTGATTTGAGCACACACACGTTTTATGTCACACTGTTTCAATGGATTTAGTTAAAATTCGCCTTATGCTACAGTTTTCTAACCCCAGTCAGGCCTCACGAGTAAGAGTCCTGACTCAGTGTCCACATTGTTGAGGTTTTGACACATACTTTGGTTTAATTGGATTCTTCTCCTACAAACACATCTTGGAGTGTAGATTTTGCTGGCAAGAAACACTCTAAGGCCGCATTCACACTGCAGGCACAAGTGGCCCAAATCTGATATTTTTCCTCATGTACCTCAGATCTGATCAGCACGAACCACATTGATCTTTTCAGTTTTGATTCGGACTACTTTCATATATGGTCACATCAGATGCAGGGCTGATTTTTTTGCAACGCTACCTCAGTGTGAACAGTCATATCAGAGTTCACTTGACTTTTACGTCACTCTAGATCGAGCAATTAATCAGAACTGAGTGCTGATTGTATAATAATTATTTTTATGTGGGAGCACCTCTTCAAATTTTAGAAATTGTTGTCACTTATCTCACAATAACTCTGATAATATTGGCTAAATTGTGAATGCTGAGCAGCACTTAAGACAAGAGTGTTTGTCAGAATGTTACCTCATCTGCCCTCCTTGCTAAATGGACTAGCTGCCTTTTTTTGCATGCAGCAGATTTCTATGAAGGGGGAACTGAGCCTTAGTATGAGGAGTTCTGATGTCTGCTCTTTGTGCTGACAGCAACTGTGACAATTGGCTTAATATCTGTTAAAGTGTTAATCTGGTAATGTCTGTGTAAAGTATTCGATAGAGTTCTACTTTTGTTAGTAGGAATCTATCTTTACATTGCCTTACATACTTAACATACTTTGCAAGTGCTTTTTAATAATGTTACTGAAACTGAAATACAAGGAGTTGATCAATAATGTTTTTCAATGGACCGCTCTAAGGAATTTGTTTATTTGTCTATGTGTTTATATAATGCCTGTCAGCAAACCTGCTCTAAGATTAAAAATCAATCTTATCTTTAAAAAAAAAAAAAAAAACATTGCGCAAGTAACGTACTAGCTGGAGAGATTGGAGATGGTGACCTTTGGATGAAAAGTTTGTTCCTACCTCACCTTTGGGCCAGTGGAAGCGCTGCAATTCATCAAAACAGTAGAACAGGAAGAAACCTTGACCTTCAAATTAATCTGGACTATACAGACTCAAGGCCCTACATAACTGCCTGTAATGTTCTTTATTAAAATATAAAAGTATTGATTTAAAGGTTTTTGTTGTATCAGGTAGGAAACATGTTGGAATTAGCAGTGTGGTCTGTTAAATGTAGTGTTTTACAGCATCTTTTTAATCATGATTTACTGATTTACTCAAAAATGTACTTACTTCTTTCTGTTCCTCCCGCCCTCTTCTCAGAGCTTGGGGGTCTGCTGAAGTATGTACGCCCTTTCCTCAACTCCATCTCCAAGGCCAAGGCAGCCCGGCTGGTCCGCTCCCTGCTGGACCTCTTCCTGGACATGGAAGCAGCCACAGGTCAGGAGGTAGAGCTGTGTCTGGAGTGCATAGAGTGGGCCAAGGCTGAGAAGAGGACCTTCCTCAGACAGGCGCTAGAGGTGAGACTTCCTCACCCCGAGCGTTTGGACAGCGCTTCTTTTCACACTTGTTTGGCGAGTGAAGACAGGCCACTTGTACTCAAGTGGCACCAGATAACTGCACTGAGATCTCTGGGCCGGTGGGTCTCTGGACTTTTCCAAACAAACTGTGATGTGGTTCATATTTGCCCTGCATCTTCAACCCAAACAGACAGGCCACCCTAAGATTAGCATCAGCTTCTCTGGTGGCTGTCCGGTTTACCTAGCTATGTGAAAAAACGCAGCTACTAGGGTTGAGCAAGAAAGTTGACATTTTCCAACCAGCCACATGGAGTCCAAAAATAGTTAGTTTCTGATATATTTGCACGTGTGCTGTGCTAGCTCCACAGTCCCGGTTGGAGCCTCTGTGAATCACCTTGTTACTGTATTCTCTGTCACCGCAGACCCTTTAACAAACAAGGTACAGACCTGGGCCCTGACATGGCTGTTGTTCTCGTCTCTCCTCAGGCTCGTCTCATCTCGCTGTATTTCGACACAAAGTGCTACCATGAGGCACTACAACTTGGTAAGTGTTGAATCGCTTGGAGTTTTTAATAAGCTTGATAATTACAGAATGTTCAAAGCACAAGAAAAAGAAAGAAACCTTGTGTATAAAACACAACGAAAGGGGAGACCATCCCATTTCGATTGAATTTGATCGAATTCGACAGAGGGGATTTCTCATTGTATCTGTGTCATTTTTGGCATTGGGTTTTCTCTAAACTTCCTTCCCTCCCAGGCTCCCAGTTGCTGCAGGAGCTGAAGAAGATGGACGACAAGGCCCTGCTAGTGGAGGTTCAGCTGCTGGAGAGTAAGACCTACCATGCGCTCAGTAACCTGCCCAAGGCCCGTGCCGCCCTTACATCTGCCAGGACAACCGCCAACGCCATCTACTGCCCCCCAAAACTACAAGCAGCTTTAGACATGCAGTCAGGTACAAAGCATGACAAACGCTGTTGAGGTAGCTGCAGGTAGTTTTACACGTATCTACTACTTACTGAACATTAACCAGAGCGGTAGGTGAAGAAGTTGCTATTTTCTGTTGCAGTTTCCCTGACATTTACGAGTGTGTTGGTTGCATTCGCAGGGATCATTCATGCAGCGGAGGAGAAAGACTGGAAGACGGCTTACTCCTACTTCTACGAGGCCTTTGAGGGCTACGACTCAATTGACAGCCCCAGAGCCATCACAGCCCTCAAATACATGCTGCTCTGCAAAATCATGCTCAACGCGTAAGTGGTACTACTCACATACACGATAGTCTGCAAATGCAAAATGTAAACCTCTTTATCACAGCATTAGCTATATATATGTCATCAAAATACAGTGAAACATTTTTTTACTTGAAGAGAGCCCACTATGGGTGTTGGATTTTAGACCTGCTTGGCTGATGCAGATTGTTTGTGTTTCAGGCCAGAGGATGTCCAGGCCCTCATCAGTGGCAAGCTAGCTCTGCGATACGCTGGCAGACAGGTATCACTCTCTCTTTCAAAGTCTATTTTAAACAGACTTTTTGCTAAACCCCTCCTCTCAACAGCATCTGCCCAATCATAGCTTAGCAACAGTCACTACACACAGCAGGCCTCTGGAGAGCTCCACATGTAATAGCGGGGTGCCCGGGACTCAGGTTAGAGAGACATTCTACATTTAAAGAGTGTGAAGGGTCATGTCTTTTTCAGTCTTTCCAAAACTGAACACAGGAGCTGAAGTGTAAGGAATGGATTAGACAGTGTGTTTGTCCGCTCTAAAGTAGCAAAATCTGCTAAATTTGTTAGCATGTCTGGCTAACTAGCTTACTACCCTAAGCAGTTGTTATTTCCAAAGCCTGGAGCACGTCCACTGTGGAGTATTTTCATACTTTGTGGAATCCAGTCCTGGACGCTCTGAGAGCTAACCCCAGCAGCTCTGTCCTGCACTTTATCGAAGTTGGGAAAGTTTACACCCCTGGCTACTTTGTGCCTGGTACATGCAGCTTTTAGCACAATATATTATATGTAGCCATTAGGTGCATATTGAGGCCCTTTCGCAGAGTTCTCAGTGGAGGACCTGTTCAACCTTGCAAACACAGCCTTCAACCTTCATTCTACTACTTTCTTGAAAAGGTTGGCCAAAAACCCTTGATATCCAAGTTGTTCATAATGTTTAAAAGTAGGTATGTCTCTCCTTCCGACCAGAAATGTGGGCTGTCCTTGCAAGCTGTTTGCTAGTGGGTTTGTTTACAACACAGAGATGACCGTAAACAGGCAGGCTGTGTCACATAAAGGTCTAAGAAGTCACTGATTCTGCAAACCTTATCTCCTTAGACAGGTCTTTCCAAAGCTCAGGGGCCCTGATGGGAAAAGCACGGTCACCTTTAGATTTAAGCCTCGACTTTGGAACAGCCAGAAGAGCCCCACCGGAGGCTGTCAACTAGCTCATAAGGAATAAGGCCTTATTAGCAATATCCAAACAGAATATGCTCTTTACATGACCCTTATCGAATGCAGAATATTGTCATATTCAGAATAATATTGGAAAATCTGTGTGCATGTAAACTCAGTGTAACCTACATATTGTGCTGGGAGAGATCAGAAAGGTGTAGCAACAGTAGCTAAGGGTGCAGGGCTTAGCAGACAGTCATTCAAAGATGATCTTTGATGGTATTTATTGAGGTATAGTTATGTTGCGTATAGTTCTGCCTGCTTCAGTCTCTCTTGGTAAAAGCTGCACCCATAATGTTCTGTTTCTCTTCTTTTTTCTATAGACAGACTCACTGAAATGTGTGGCACAAGCCAGCAAGAATCGGTCGCTGGCAGACTTTGAAAAGGTTTGTGTTTAGAGTCGGATGTTGACTTTTATAATGTGTTCCTGAACATTATAAATCAGATTGAAACGCTGTTGGTCCTTCTGCATGTTTGATTCTGTGATGTTTTAGCCTCTCTCCCCATTAGTGATTAAGACGTCTTGTTCCCACCCTCCCCAAGGCACTAACAGAGTACAAAGCAGAGCTGAGGGATGACCCCATCATCAGCACCCATCTGACCAAGCTGTATGACAACCTGCTGGAGCAGAACCTCATCAGGGTCATCGAACCTTTCTCCAGGGTCCAGGTAATCTGGCCATATTCAGCCACAGTCTTCAGGATATGGAGACTTGTAGGTGTCTTAAATAATTGTGCTTGTCCCTCTTTTCTCCAACAGATAGCACACATTTCCTCCCTCATCAAACTCCCCAAGGTAAGGTTTTACTGGTCTTCTTTTCAGACTTTCACTTTCATCATAAGTCATTCCTGAGATCTGTACAGTGAAATAAATCTGACTGTGTGTTCCTTGCAGGGAGATGTGGAGAGGAAATTATCACAGATGATCCTGGACAAGAAGTTTCACGGTATGTCAGGGTTCCCACACATCCTGGAACTTCATAGTTAGTTATCCAGTCATTGCAACACCTGGAAATAATCTATGTTGTCTTGGACATTTTTAATAGTACTATGGCCCCTCACTCAGATTGTGTATTTTATTTGAAACTGGACTATTGGTAGGATAAACTATATGACACTTTAAAGCAGGTTTGCCAGATGCAAAGTGGAACTGACTTGCAGCGATCTTTTCGACATTGAGTCTATTTTTAGATCTAGATCTGCGTGCAACATTCTCATATCGGTGTGCATACAGCCATAAATATGTGCGCAGTGATGTTAATTGTACGTGCAACAAACACTTTAACTTTATCTAGAAGGTTAATTTTCTGTAAATAACATAAATTCTACAACTACTACTTCCTGATCCAACTGTTTCTTATGGGCTGTGGCCAAATTTAATGTTATGGTTAGTGGAAAATTGTAGTAAACTGTGGTCGATTTGCCCAAAACTGCAGCTTATATGACCATTGGTTAGCAACTGCTGTCCAGTATTGTCAAAAAAGGTCCTGGAAAAAGATGTGTTAGCGTGGGAACACGTACAGGGTGTCTGCAGCTCTTTTAGTATACACTTCATGAAGAGATGGCTAAATATTAGTGAATTCCTTGTTGTAAATATTAGTGTTTTGTGGGTGTTTCCTGCAGATGGATCTGATTTCCACTCTGAAGTAACTGTTTCAGTTTGCTCATCATTATGCAGTGCTTTGTATTTTGTACTGGGTGAGACGAACTACACTGAATGAGCGAGTGTGCCTGTAGTAGCTCTTCGAGGTTTTTGACCCTTTTTCTCTCTCTGTGTCCTCCTATCATCCCACCCCACCACTCAACCGGGCAGGGATTTTGGACCAAGGTGAAGGTGTGCTGATTGTGTTCAACGAGCCGGTGGTGGACAAGACGTACGAGGCGGCCCTGGAGACCATTCAGAACATGAGCAAAGTGGTGGACTCGCTCTACAACAAAGCCAAGAAGCTAACATAAGGTCAGCCCCAGTGCAACTGCTAATACTAGTGCCAGCATTCAACAGATGGCACAGTGGAGAAAGCTGTTTCCAGATCTCTATCCACACTCCATTATGATGAGTAGAACAATGTATAGCTCACCTGGTTCAACAATGTATACTATAATACTAATAAAACTAGTGAAATAAAAATTGGTTTCTAATTTGAAAAAAAAAAAATACATTCAAACAATAGGTAGGGATGCAGAAAATAACAGTAAATTTATATTATCAGGGTTCCCACCCATGCTGGAAAACCTTGAAAATCTGGAAATCATGGAAACACCTGGAAACTGATTAAAATTAGCAAATGTCCTGGAATCAACCTCTAGAGATGTTTGTATTTTGGCCCCATACTCAGATGGCCTATATAAAGCGAGGTGTGTATTTAGTTTGAAACTGGACTGTGGGTGGGGTGAACTGTATGACACTCTAAAGCAGGTTGGCCTGTGGGTGGGGTGAACTGTATGACACTCTAAAGCACGTTGGCCAGATGCAAAGTGGAACTGACTTGCAGTGATCGTTTCAGCATCGAGTTCTGAATTTCTTTTTCAGTTATTATATCAGTATTTGCCATGAGAAGCAGGTAATTATGGACTTTTTGTGTAGGCTGAAAAAGCCTCCATGTTGTGCATTTGTAACGATAAGGCTGGTGATGTTCTAGATTTTTCTTATTGTCAACAATTCCCATATAAAACAAACAAACAGTGAATGGATTGTACTGCCATATAGTGAGTCTCATACAGCTTTTTCTCTCTGGCGTAGAAAAAAGACGTGTGATTCATGAGTTAATCCTTCAAAACTCACCGGTCCTCATCTCCACTAACTCGTTTACAGACTTGCCCCTCCTGAGTCACTCACGCTATTTTGCAATGTTAACTGTATTTGTGGAAATGTATCCAGTTAACTGTATTAACCTAGCCCTGTGAGAAAAGCAACCAGTTTGGCTCTTGTTTCATCTTGCTCTCCCAGCCTGCCCTCTGCCCTGAGCTGAAGGTCTCAAATGACTCGTTTCACCATCTGAGTTTGAGTAATCAGTCTGATAACATTTGGATGTATAGAAAGCCATTCATGTTAGGGCTCTGCCATACGACCACAGTTTCATATCCCCATCACAATATATAGCATAATGTTGCATCTATATACTTTATATAAAATGACCACATGGAAAGACCTATTTCTTATTACATTTTGAATCATATACTGAACAAATATAAGGTACTTCCTCATATTTAATATGCTGTATTGTATTTTGCAAATTTTCAATTAAGCATATACCAAAACTACTATTGTCTCACATAAGACCTAAGCACAGAGAGGAACAGAGAGAGAGAAGCATTGTCCGATAGGTGGAGACTATCAGTAATTTATTTTTTATTTATGGACCAGCATGCTAGAATTTAGCTGGCTTGGCCAACAGAAGTCTCTGGTGTGCATACTCTGTTACTCCATGGGCGCTGGGGCTGGTGGGGGATTCACCAAGCTATGGCTGACTGACTCGGTGACTTAAAACCCGACTCTCTTTAGTGAGTGACTCATACCAACTCAAGTTAGTAAAAAAAGAGTCCAACCTCCCATCTCTACCATCGCCCTCCATTGAATGAACTTTATTGGTGAAACTGGAACATGGAATTTAATTGAAAGTTAGCAAGGTAACGTTACTGGCATCAGAGCAGAATTGTTTGTTCATTATCCCACAAATATCATTTTCATTCAACTTAATGTCCTCTCATTTCTGCCTCTACGTCCTCTGTTTGATGATAATAGACCGCCTCCATAAACACTCCAGCTCACAGTGTGTATTCATCCAATCACATCTGTGGAGCCGCTTAACTTAGCTTAGCAACTAACAGACTGAAAATGAGGGGAAACAGCTGGCCTGGCTGCAGCTCTGCAGAGAGTTGGATCAATAATCAGTGAGTGTATTTCTCAATGTCTAACTGTTCCATTAAAACCTGGCTTTGGGTAGGCTCGGCTCATACTAGATATGTTTGCTAAAATATATGTCAAATCTCAGCGTTCATTCTCCTCCCCCTGTCTTTGTCTCCCCCCCCCCAGAGAGAGCGAAACCATCGGTCCTCCTGTCTGGAGTGACGCGGGCCAGTCAGACCTCCGTTGATCACTTCAACCCGGGAGGGACGAGGGGAGGAGGACGAGGAGATCACAAACCCTCTTAACAACCCAGCAAGCAAACAAACCAGCTGACCATCTGAAGACGACCCAACAGATTAACAAACTGACTGACGGGGTGGACACGCCGCTCCTCCTGGTCCTCCCTCAGCCCTCTGCTCTCCCTCCCCCCCACTGTCTCTTCCTTCCAATCTGACTGGGGTTGATCTGACACAATGTGCTCCTCCCTATGGACAAATCCAGGCACTGTGCCCCTCTTCTCTTCTCCAAACACTAGTTTCTACTGTATGTAAAATCGGACAAGCCCCCCCCCCCCCCCACACACCTTTTTTCCCTCTGTTTCTCTCTGCACTGGCCATCAGGGAATCTTGTAATATAACAATAAAAAAATACATATACAGTACTTATAAATACATGTATTATATAAAAAAAACATGCTTGGTCTGTTCTCAGAGTGTAACCGGGGGTTAACGTGGGTAGGTTGGTCCTCTCCCACTGGATTCTACCTGTTCTGTTCAATTCCCCAACCAGACCCCAAACTGAATGTTGGAGAATTTTAGATTTTTGAAAGAATTTTTGAGAAGTTGCCCCGCAGTTAACTAGTTGGCCTGAAGAATGGTTTTGAAAACAGAGGCCGTCAGAACAACCCCCCTCCCTTCCCCTCCTCACACCCTTACCAAGACCTTTGCACCCTCACCTGTTTCACCCTGAGGGGGTCTCACTCACAAGGCATTCTGGGATTCGTGGACCATACAGGGAATTTACTCTTCTGTCCACTCGGGACCATGCCACAAGGAGAGGAGGACATTCATCTACACAGTGGGGTCTCCTTCAGCCCCCTTCCTCCGCCCCTGCACTCCTACGTCCTGTTTGTATATAACATTGCCAAGCGCCTCTGTTCATCCAAGGCCTGATGTATTCACACTGTCCCCTTTTTTTTATAATGCGTAAGAACTGAATAAACCTCGCCACCGAGAGCTTGGTCAGTCACACAAAGTGCTTTTGATGCTCGACAGGTGACTGGAGAGGGAACTCTGCGTTCTGAGATGTGATGGTTGGTTGTGCAGGAGAGGGCGGGTTTCGCTGAAGAAAATCAAGCTGTACATTTCTGGGAACTTAATTTTGCAAGGACTCGAGGGTCTACCATATATGACATAGAGAAAGACAAATGCTAATAAAAAAAAAATTAAACCTGTAAATTGTGTGATTTTAGAATGGGGGAAGTGAAAGTGTGTTTGCCGGTGTTCCTTCATTAGATTGATTAGGTTCTCTGTGCTCTTCTAATGTGCTTCAGACTGATCTCATTTCCCCTCTATTCAGTTGTTAGACCAACCAGGGACACTAATGCAGTTACCAGGAGGTTTGTTGAAAGATCATACAGTAGCACTACTCATTCCAAAAAAAACTAGGTAGCAAGCAATAGCTAAAGTTTGGAGTGCATGGTTGAAATGTGTTTGTAAAAGTAGTGAGCAGTGGGCTAAAACTACTGGATACATGTTTTAAATAGTTAAAAGTAATTTAAAGAAAGTTTAAATAACTAATAGCCATGAGTAGATGCAAATTAGCTGTTAGCTAACGCTGGTGCAATTACTTTGTATTGTGCATTGTCCCTGTAGTTGGTTAAAGCTAATGGACAAACTAGCTGGAGTGGTAGTTGTACGAAGCCAAACCCACATTAACGTTCAAATACATGAAAAACAATTGTAACGATGTCTGGTTTTGCATAATGAATTGTTCCATCCACTTTATTATCCGTTGAGATGAACACATCTGGAGGGCTGGTGTTGATGACGGTGTACTTCAGACAGAAAAAGGTTGAACCACTGCTTTGATCATTATGGACCACGATTAGAGCTGCATGTGAAACTCAGAACTCAAATACATCTTACACATGGCCTTATTAGTCTTCCATAGAATATGCACAACATACATTGGGAGACTTGAACTGTGTTTTGAACTATCTGAATCATTGTTTGTCTTACTTTTCTCTCCATTATATATTTTGAATTAGTTTGAGATGAGTGAGTGATGCATTGGCTGGTTAAAGGGGTTTCCTGTAATCTCATTTTGCTGCCAACATTGCCTGAAAATCAACTTGAATTTCAAACTCTCAGTAGTGACATCTGGTGGTGAGATTATGTCACGTGAATTAGAACTAACTTTTCAGTGACATGGAAAAATCTCACTTGTGTGTAAAACTTAAGTTTATATCTTTCCAAATTGAAAACACATTTTATAACATTTAGTGCAGTCAGAGTTTACTTAGCAGCTCATTTTGTATGGATGTATTTTATGTTACAGTGAGGCACTCCAAGGTAGATCTCCTTGTAGTGTCACCATCATGTGCCCTCCGTACTCTCCTGGGGTTTCTAGCACCTTTATGGTGGCTGTTTCTCCTCCCTGAGGCGCGGGAGAAGCCCGGGGCTCAAGTCAACACATGTAAAGCAGGAAAAGCCTTTTTTAAAATAAGCCTTGATGAACTGTAAATAACTCCTGAGCAGCACTTGGCTGTGGATCTGCATCTGAATGGGAGGCAAACACTCCTTATCACAACACCATTATGCGCGGCCTGCTCGCTAAACCTTTATCTGCTCTGCTGGGAATCTTGCGTGATGTTAAAGTCTCTGGGAGGATATGTCGAGGTGAACGTTAGTTAGAGGACTTTTCCGGGCTTGCCAACTGTTTATGCGCTCTGGTTGCATACAGGCCCGAGGAGAGGCTTACTGGAGGTTTTTGTGGGGAGAAGAAGGGAGCCAGACAGGCGACAGTCAGCGCTGTCTTGGCCTCGGGGCAGAGGCAGGGAGCGAGCAGGCGAGCCAATGAGAAGGAGACATCCACTCCCCTCTGTCCTGCCCGGCCCGGCTCAGCTCGGCGCGCCCTGTAATTACGAGCTCTAGTTGGGTTGGGCGCCGCCACGGTGGACAGCCCGGCTGCTGCTGCGTCAAGGGAGTTTGGGAACAGCCAGCTCCAGACTGCGAGCACCTCTCTACACTCCCGCTGCGCAGTTTGGAGCGAAAGGAAGGCGCTGAGAATGAACGGCCAATCCTCGCCTATCTTCGAGGAGAAGAAACCTTCCCTCCCCCTGGCCGGGAGCTCCATCTCGGCCGCCAAGGATTCCCCGACCCTGCCGGAGTCCTCATCCACAGACATGGGCTTCTACAGCGGGCAGAGCGCTCTCCACGGCTCGCAGGATTTCTACCAGGCGCAGCAGTCGTACTCGGCCCAGCACATGAACCCGTACGCGTACCACCACTATAACTTGAACGGGATGGGTCCAGGCGGTGCTTACCCCGTGGGCAAGGCAGAGTACCCGTACCCCCATGCGGCGTACAGAGGGGAGCACGGTGCGTTCAGCAGGGAGGTTCAGTCAGCGCTGCAGGACGGTGGTAAGTTCCAACTAATGCGCAAAAACCTTCTCACTGGAGCTGACTGATCACTGATTCTGGATCAGTTTAATGAAGAAGAAATAATAATAATCAGGTCAAACATACTGCTCACACAGCTCTGTAAAACATCCTCATCACCTTTGTCGAAGAAAAGCCACTCTGACCACCAGAGGCTGATGTATGGCAAGTGCTCATGTCTAGCCATATAAACCCAGTAATTGCGCACGGGTTTTACGCACTGGGAAGAAAACGTTGTTTTTATTTATCCGTTTTCCACTGCGCCCTAAACTCTCTTTACTTTGCACTTTATACATATTTTGGAGCATTTGGCTGATGCTCTCTTAATCGTGGGCTTCTAAATCTCCATCATTAGAGGATGATTAGGGAGTCAGAATTACAGTGCACTCACAGTAGGGGAGACCTGGGACTTGACTGAGACACTTGTATAAAAAAATTATTTGTGTCTCAGCTTTAAAACCAATGTTTGTGCCGGGAGTAATTTTTTAAAACTAAATCTAAGTGAATAATTCAACCATGTGTGCAGCTGCAGAAGTAGCATTTACTGCAATTTATTTTGATTTTCAAAGGTTTTTTGCTCAGGAATATCAGTATTCAAGGTTAATGATTTATTGCTTTTCAAACTACGATGATTCTGTGCTCCACAGACAGCAAATATTGGGTGTTAGATGTGGTTCTCACAGCATGTTCCTCTTACTAAACTTGATTTTATTTGGCTGAAGGAAGAACTCACAAATAAACACACTGTTTCGTTTATTGTCAGCAGAGAAGCTTCTGGTTCTACGTGCCGGGGTGACTAAGATTGCTGTTGAATCTTTATGAATTCAAATGGGATTTTGTGTAAGCACTCATCAGCTCTCACCAGAAGGACTGACTCTAAGTAGAGGGAGGAAGAAGAGAGGGGGAGGTGTCTGTGGGTGAAGAGGAAACAAGAGATCATTGCAGGTTCAGCCTGGAGAGTGGCACGTTTGGAGGAAAAGGCCTTTGAAAACGTTTTGTGTTGCATTGTTATTAATAAATTGGAAGCTTATCTTATCCTTGGTTTTAATTTGGAAGAAAATGAAACTAAAAGCCTTTGGATGGCAGTCATGGCCTAGTTCTAGCCTGTGACTTTCCAGCTTCACCTGTTAGGAATGAAGAACTAATTTATTGACACGCGATTGGTTTATGTTTAGGAACCAGATCACCTAAACAGTCTCTGCCACCATAAACAGGGTGAAAATATTCCAAGCTTCCTTCAGGAAACATCAGCTATCAGAGTGAGGCTGTAAGGTCACTGTGATTCAGATCCTGCAGTGATATTACAAGAACATAAAAGACAACATTTGGAACAACAAACACCATTTTGGCTCTAACTTAAGTTCCCCTACAGCCACACTGTGTTCAGAACTTTTTCTTTTGGCTCTTTCTTTGGAGCTTGGATGGCGCCTGTGTGCAAACTACAGGGGAAAAACAAACCCGACAGACTGGTGTACTGTTTTTGACATTCCAATTGGGAGTTGACTCCTGGAAATGGCCCCAAGGGACTTTGGCCCACAGCCACGCACATCAGGTGTCACGACATGTCAGTCAGCCTTGGCCTTTGAATCATCCAGCGAGGACGGCTCCTTATCATGCAAGGCTCGCAGCCACGACCACACTAATAAATAAACATACAAACAGGTGTCAAAATAAATTCATAGATCAATATAAATGCCTAAATGATCATAAAAAAGTAAATAACCATATATTTCATTTATTTCTTAATCTATGTAATAATCAATAAATGTTTCAAACAGGATAACTGGTTAAATAATGTGAGAAAATGATGAAAAGATGATAAAATATCCGAATTAGCTACAGGGACAACAACTACATTTAACTTTATTGTGAGATTAATTGTTATTAGTAATTATACTGTCTGGAAATGTTATTTTCCAACATTAAGGTCCCAATGCAGTTGGATTCCTTTATGTCTGTTGGTCCAAAAGCATTCCAACTGAAATATATTGAGACCAAAAAAACACAGGAATCAGCCTTTAAACAAACTACTATTTGTACTTTTTAACTGTAGAGAGGAAACTCTCCTGCGGGTTGCTAACATAAAAAAAATCATCAGTGTCCTCAATGGGAGTGTAAACTAATGCAGTAAATACAAAAAACTGAAATATTCTATAAATTGTGTATTCACCAGTCTTTTTCGAAATAAATAAATATATGTTCAATAGTAATAAATACTTGCAAACAATTTTGAAATGTTGAATTCAGATTTTTATTATAGCTACTGTAGGTTATTTAAAAATCATCAGTCATATTTGCTGAAACTTTCCCTATATCCTGACAGTAGTACATGAGACAGATAATCTGTGAAACAATCAGTTCCTCTGACTCCTCCTAGAGCTCCTAATGGGATTTACAAGAATCCACCGGGCCTGAACGAAAACAGCCAATCAGAGCTGAGAGAGACAGTTGATGGAGTCTCATTCCCAGGGAATCAAATACAGACATTTTGGGACCCTGGGAATGAAACTTAACCATCAGCTATCTTCAAGCCATCCAACCCAAAGTGTCTTTATATCTTTCTCAGCTCTGATTGTTTTTGTTCGTTTTTTTTAATTTAGGTAACCTACTGCAGCTTTAAATATTTAGTTAAATCTGTTCAGCAAATAACATAAATACAAACATTTAAAGATATTATACACAATTTGTTATTAGGTGTAAATGCATAAATATATGAAATATTTTAATACTGATTATTTCCTATACAAATTGCATATAAAGCATATGGTTAAATGTTTGTTTTTTTATGTTTTGTT